ATCATAGTTGCTACTTGCCTAACCCTAACCTAACCTTAACCTTAACTTAAAACATGTCTTTACCTTAAAATTTTATGATTTACTTTATAGGGACTTTTTTCCCCCCATAATGTGACTGTGTAAAGAGATTTATGTCTGCACAAAATGAGTAATACCTGGACCACACATACACAGGCACACACGTACACTCACGCACAGAGCGAGAGAGAGAGAGAGAGAGAGAGAGAGAGAGAGAGATGCAGTTTAAATCCTTTAACATTTCAAGTTTCAGGAAAATACTGGGGTCCAGCAACAGGCTTGAGAAACATAAACATAGTGTAGATGCCAGACAATTTTAACAGTGTGTTTAAAATGTGCCTGAAATAGACATCTTCACTTTTGCGTTTTGTAGCTGCTTGATCAGAGGGATTTTGAGTTCTGCTCACTAACCTAATATTTTTCAGTACATATTTAGTTACCCCCAGAGATGCATGCATAGGTCTCTTTCACAAAGAGTTCATGTCAGTGTTTCCAACTTGTTGTTACACAGAGATTCTGCAGGATGCTTGACTCAGCCCACATATAGAGTCAGACATGTTTGGCCAAGTTAATTTGATAACCAAAGAAGATACCTAATCTTCCTAAAATAATCAACTTGCATGGTTCCAAAGTCTTCCCCAGCTGAGTTGAGATGTGGTGACTGTAAAAGTCATAAAAGGTATGATTGACATTATTTTCATGCACATAAACACCAGTCACTGACATCTATTATAAAAACATCTGCATTTTCTGTGTGTAATATCATATTGAAACAAGAGCCCAGAAAAAACACAAAGCACTTACATACAAAATTAGGAACTCAATTTTTTTAGCCACAACTATGCATCCTGTAAAACATTTTGTATCCAATCCTGCAACTTCTACCCTTGACCTGAAGGTGGCACCAACTCTATCACTAAATGTAAAATTATAAAGTTGTTTAAGGTTTTCCCTTTCTTTACACCAAGGGCCGTGGTAACAGAAGTAATTTATATGAAAATGAGTTCTGCTTGTCATGTGATGTGTTTGAGAACGTGTGTCTATGTGCACATGGTTGTGTGTGCATGTGTGTGTTGTGTCGTAGGGTGTGTGAGTGGTGTGTGTGTGTGTGTGTGTGTTTGTTGACACAGCCTCTTGCAGTCCATCCTAAGGGGGAGGCTGCTGCAGTGAATAGCTGCTTTATGGCCCACCTATTATATATGTGTATATGTGCAAAATGTAAAAGATTTACAGAAGATAGTCTTCTCATCTTTCTGTGATTGTCTAACTGTAGCTGTTGATGGTTTATCCATCTGTGGAAGAAGACATACGTACTGATGACTCACTCATTTGCAAAGTAGGTAAACAAGTTAATCTGGTGGCTTTGCATACAACATGTAAAGAAATATTTACTGTGTGTGTGTGTGTGTGTTTATTAACAAAGATCCATTGTACAATTGAAGCTGCAGGTTCTTCACCCAACAATGAATTACTACGGAGCTCTACTGTATGTAATAGGAAAGTCAAGTTTAATTTTCATAAGCCACAAAAATGGTTGTTAGATGTTTACTATTGGATAGTTCAACCAAAGAGTTAATTCTCCTCTTAACTTCTCTGAAGGTTTCGTTTAATTAACAGGCAGAGGCCTAAATTGTTGAACCAACCAATATCCCACAAAAAGCTAAAAATGAAAAAGTCCAATGAATCCAAATTTATGTCATACCTTTTTTCTTCTTGCCTCTCCCAGAAACCCACTGGAGCGCCCGTCCCACATGTTGGGAAGTTAAACTACCCAACTGCATATAGAGTAGAAAAAATGCATCACCTCAGCCTCAGGAACATTCAAGGAAGGGAGAAGGGAATTTCTACAAACTTTTATTTTGTACATTTCTACTGAAGGTTCTAAGTACTGTTCCACAACGTAAGAATTCCCCATTAGAAGTAAAATAAAGAAAGTCCCTATTTTGTAATCTCACAATAGCTCTTCTTTGTAAAATCTTTAATTAAAGTGATTTTTAACCATATCTGTCAGTAAAGTAGCACACTTTCAAAACTGTTTGTAAATTGCGTCACTTTAACAGATATTCAATTGTGTTACAAGCAGAGCATCTTGTATGCATTTACAACCCCCATGCATGTTTTGTTCGTCTGTTATTAAACAGGATTATTCAAAACTACAGGCATACCTCGATCAGTCATGTCAATCAACTGTGACAAAATGGTAGACAAAACTTAAGATCGTTATTCTGCATCATGCAGCAGCTATTTTAATCCTCTGCCATGAGAAATATCAGTGTGGTCTCGTATAACAATCAATCTTAGTGTCAGTAAGTGTGACAGAGTTAATGATCCATAATAACAGCAAAACCTCTGCCAGAAAGTTAGAAGAGGAGGGAAATGAGCAAAGATATCACAGAAACATTTGAGGAACCTGTTCACCTCATGAGTGGCTGATGGAAACTGTATGCAGAAAAGGTTTCCTGTTATGATATTTGGCTAAGGAGCTAAACTGGTCACTGCTGACTCATTTTAACGACATCCTCTCCATATGTATCTACAGTAATGTGACTGTTGATAATCTTGTTTGTCTAATGTTGCACTGCACACGTTCCACCCTGTTTCGTCTCCGTTTCTGTACAAGCTGAAGCTGACTTATAGGTAATATAAGGGCCTGTTTGTCAGCAGCGAATTCCAAAATGGCCGTCTATGATAGTGTTCCCATTGAATCAGTGAAGACAGGATGCTTCAGGGAGCGTTTCAATTTATTATTTAAATGTATTACATAATTTTAGGTATTTGAAAAAAATAGATTTTTGGATGCTGCATAGGTGGTGAGAGGGAGGAGATGAGGAGAGGGAGGGGAGAGGTGGTTACTGGTTTTATGCGAACACTACTTTCTTATACTGCAACACAGACCGGCTTCTCATGACCTGCTGCATGATGGGACAGAGAGCCGCTCCACACTCTCTTGACAGGTTGCCAAACTCTCAGCCACACCGGGCAGTCTGGCAGGTCTGATGCTGGGAATGGCTCAAAGGGAAGCAAAGGGAATTGTGGGAATATGGAAATCCATGAGAGGCTTGTTTTTAATACTGCGATGACTGTGTGTGGTTTCTGTGCGAGACAGCAGGGCTGATGAATAATTTCAGCTAATGAAAGAAAAAGGTTGCATTTGT